GGTGTTGTGCACGAACAATGAATCATGGAACACTTTATCTAGAACTAATGATGTAATGTATGGGGATTAACATAAGAATAAAAAAAAATAAAAAAAAAAAAAGTGAATGGAAAACTAATAGAGATTCCAGCAAATAGCATAGTAACATATCTCTATAACCTTAGAGTAGGTAAAAATATTAAATGGTACACAAAAATCCCTAATCATAAAGATAAAATTGATTAATTAGACTATAATAACATTAAGGAAATCAATTCTTCAATAATTAACTCTCATTAAGATAGTAAAATATAAAACCTTCAGATAGAAAATGCTATTTGCAAATTTTGTGAGTAGCAAACACCTTTTATCCCAAGTGACTAAAAGTATTGACAAGCCCTATTGATGAAATGCTCACACACTGAAGGGAGAATTTATAGTGTGATACCTAATTTGAAAGATTGAAAATTTTACTATTTGAACATATATACCATATTACCTGGTAGTCCAAAGACATGTAAAAGAATGTTCGGACAGCATTTTTCATAATAAACAAATGCTGCCAACAATCCAAATGTCCTTTACGAGGTGAGTGGATGCATGGATATTGGTATATTTACACAATGGAATGCTCTACAAGAGTGAAAGGAATGAACTGCTGCGACATGCAACATCATAATATATCATTAAAACACTAAATGAAAGATGCTAGGTACAAAAAACCGTGTACAATATAATTCCATTTATAAAAAGTAAAAAAAATACAATAATTTTTAAGAATTTATGCTAATGTGGTAAAATATTAACTTAAAAAGGAGAAAAAGGAAATGCTTATCATAAAAGGGTAGTGATTCTTTCTTAGGTAGAAGGAATATGGAAATATTGAGGAAGTAAGAGCTACCTTTGGGGGTGCTGATATTGAGTGGTGGTTACAAGGCTGTTTATTTGTTGAAAGTCATCAAACTGTATATTTCTGTTTTAAATATTTCTCTATATGTCTATTTCATTTCACAATATAAAATAATAAAACATAAAGCATAGAACATAATTAATAAAAATCAATTGTTTTAAAGTAGAATTTTTTTTTCTGTTGGAAATTACCCAGATACTGATTTTTTTAAAAAACTAGCTTATACTAATTGTATAGCATTATTTGACAAGGTGAACATTTTTAATATTTTTATTCACAGAAAAATAAGTCACATTACTTGAATGCAAACAATCATATACCATTACCCTGTTTTAACTGAGTTTAAAGTACTTGAAAAAGGTGTTCTCTTTTTTTGTATAAAAATGTTATATTCAATTTTAAAGAAACAGTCATAATTAGTAGATGCAGAGGAAATATTTGAGTTAAATAAATATATTACTTTAGATTTTCTTCATGTTTCTCTTAATAGCTCTATATTCTAAATTAACTAAATAATATATCTGTATTATGACATTAATTCAAAATATTTTCATTAGAAAATTCACTTGTCGTAACAATACTATTTATCTGTTACAAAAATATTTATCCAACAGATGTTAGATGAATATATATGAAGCTTATTTTAAGCTGATAAAATAGCTGTTCATTCCAATTATTACAAGATAATTTATAAATGCTTATCTGTACATGACATTCAATGCTGTTTCAAATACATAAACATACTTATTTAACTTAGAGTTTGAATTTTAAGAATACCATTTATACAAAAATATTCATCACAAAATAAATAACAAAGGTCTATATTTATGCTACCTATCATATTAGGCATAATCACATATTATCCATTTTCCCAATATTTCAGAAATCAACAATTCATGATTTTAGAGTGCTTAACTGTATTAGTCCTCCTTACAAGTCATTTTTTATATGAATGAAGTATAAAGGTATTGAGTGAGTGAAAGGAGCCTCATTTACTTTAAATCCTAGAAATTTAGTTGTTTAGTATTTTATTTATTAGTTGAAAGTATGCTTCACCCTAACTCATCAAAGCTCAAACTAAGCAATACATTGATAAAGAACAGATTTTCTTTAAAAAGATGCATTTTATTTCTTAGTTTAATGGCTGTTTTCAAACAGCTTCAGAGGCACATGTTCTTCAAATATATTAAAATACTGTGTATTTCTTGAAAATTAAAAGAAATGTGTATCACTATATCAATTATAACATGTAAACATATGAAGAGCATATTTAAAGCTAATACGTGTTAATGACATTTGTTTCAGACCTAAGGCAGCTGTTCTGGAAACTTTCCGTTGCTTGGTATTCCTCATGTTGTATAGATCTGGTCATCTGAAGCCTTTCATTCCTTCTTTGTCATTTGCCTTTGAGGTAAGACATTTGTTTTAGGAGGCTATAGCATGATTATACATCTATTGTGTATTTAATCCATTCATTCAACAATGTTTTTGTCTATTTTGTGACTAGTACTTGTGGCAAACTTACTTATTCATGTACTTACCATACCGTATTAATTGTGTCACCTGGAGCTAGTTAATATTGTTGAGTTTCAGCTTTTTGGTCTTTAGATTTGGATTGGTACCATTGACTTCATAGAATTGTTGGACAAGTTATATCGCCTAACGTTTATAAAGAAAAAGTAGTCCACATGGTTGGTTTTCAGCAGGAAAAAAAATTACAGAAAGTTATTGGCAGAGACTCTTCCATTTAAGATTTTTCTCTTTAGGCTTTTAAGGTAAAGATTTGATTAAAATGTCATATCAATTACCCACAAGAGATGATGATTCTATAGAAATAAAACCATTGATGTCACTGAGATTTTTCTACAACTGAAAAATATAAGTTAAAATTTGACCTGTGATGATTAAAACTTATCTTCTAAGAACTTCCAAAAATTGGGGGGTATATATTTATTATCTCAGATCTTAGACAACTGTTAAAAAAATTTTATTCTCATCACTAAACTTTTAATGGACAAGGTTTTATTCTTTTAAATTAAGGGTTATTTTAACTTTGGTGCTGAGCAGCCTACTAACATGCCCAGAATATGCAATATGTAACCTTTTTAAAACATGAAACATAAAAAAACCTTCTGCCAGCATCAATGGAAAGACTAAAATAGGCACTTTATAATTTAGTAATGATAGTAAATTGGAGCAAACTCTTTGGAAAACAATTTGGTACTACCATACAAGGCATATAAGTCTAAAAATGAGGGAGGAGAGATGTATATGTATAAATGTATATATTATATACATGTAAATATATCTGGAAAGATAAATAAGAATTTAACATATGGTTGCCTATGGAAAGGCAAATTGTGTGAGTAGGAGAAAGAACATGGGGAAGATTTTCTTAACATTAATATTCTTTACTACCTTTACATTTCTGCACCACCTGAATATATTTCTTTAAAAGTTGTGTAAATTTAAGAAATGAGGCATAAAATGTTAGTATCAGGATACTAGATATCATCCATCTAATACATTTTGCATTTAAATAGGTACTAAATAAAGTTTATATGATGGGTTCTTATATTGTTTCTTGAGATTACAACCTAAAAACAAAATGAAGAAACATAAATTACACATATTTAATGAAATTTGGAAATATACATGCCAAAAAAATAAAATATTAAAATCAAGGAATAGCATTCTCATACTCTAATGGGGGAAGATATTGTAATTACCGGTATGAAAGAAAATAATTCCAATTAATGAATCTACTCTTGGGTATACTATGGTAGTTTATCTTCAATGATCCAGAGTAGAGAAATGGGTTCTTTAAGGTAGCCATGGTATAACAAATGGGAATGTAGGATTGTAGAACCATATTGAATTTGGGGTTCTTTGATGATGGGATAGTGGAGAACAGTGTAGTGTGTCTGACTTTTGAACGTGATGAATTCTAGTGGTGAGATGCTGTCCATTTACTAATTTTAGTCAGTAGGAGAATGTGAGTGGCTAATACTTGAGCTTTGAAGCCACATTGCCTGAATTTGATTTCTAACTCAGAAACTTACTAGTATTTGTCAGCTTAAATATTCTTTGTCTTGCATTCTTTGTCTATAAATGGATGAAGTAATAAGGTCTAATAGAAATTTGAGGATTAAAGGAGAATCTGTGTAAGAGATTTAGAATAGTGCTTAACATACAGTACGTGCTCAATAAATATTAGATGCTATTATTATTATCATTTTATATGAAATGAAAGATCCCTTGGAATAATACTTAGGTTTGCCTCAGGATCCAAAAGTCAAGTATGGGAACAACTGAGTAGAGGAGCAGATAATGTTGAACCTAAAAGTCATGCTTATGAATTCTTAGTCTAATGCTGACTCTATGACATGAGACTCTGTGCCTCAGGTTGTTTACCTGTAAAATAGGTCTGATGAGAGTTGACATGCACTGAGATTTTACTATGTTCTAAATGCCCTATTATTTCATTTAATCTTCATATCAGTATAATGAGGTGTAGCTACTATTATTATTTTTATAACAAAAAATTGAGTTACAGAGAGGTTGAAAACTTGTCTGAATTAACATAACTAATAAGTGAACAAGTCAGGATACAAATTCAGACAGTCTGACACTGTAACTCTTAATTACCTAGCAACATTTTCTTCCATGTAATGATAGCAATACTTAGCCACCTCAAGGAATTTAGATAAAAAAAATACAGATGCAATGTAGCAAAAGTACTTTGAAAAACGTGAAGACCAAAAAAAAAAAAGAAAAAAAGGTCTTATCAATTTGACTGCAAAAATGTTTTGAAAAGACTAATGGCTTCAATAACTTACCTCTGAATTATCTTTAGTTCACGATTCAAGGGAGGGAAGACATAATGGCAAAATCTTTCAGGCTGCTCACCTACAGAACCTGTTCCTGTCCATGTAGGCACACAGACGGCTGATTCTTCAAGACTAAACATTGACTGTGATTTGCCAAGAAAACATTGCCTTAATATGGTGTGTTAATACTATCTATTTACATGGTTTGGTGCAAAAATTTAATGACACAAAAGGTAGGACATAGGAAGCACCTGATACATTTTAGTTACTATCCTTGTTCATATTACTATTAGTACTCTATATTATAATTAAAATATTGCTGCTATTATTATTAAAGTATTATCATTATCATTATTATTAACCATTGAATTTCCATTGGTAAAACTCAACAAGTCTTCTCTGACCAGAGGTCAATAACTATATGGTAAAGACTGGGCAAGTATTTCATTATCAACATTTTACATGTGAAGCAGCCTTTTCTTCCACTTCTTTTTTGAGTTCAAGAAAAATGTAAATTACTAGTTATCAATTCTTATGTTCTTTAAATTCAAAATTTAAAAAAAAACTAGTTATCAGTTCTTATATTCTTAATCCTGAATTTCATATTTGTGTTTTCCTCACATTAGAACTTTATGTAAATTTTTACTATTTATTGTAGTATTAATAGAACTAATTCTTTGCCCCAAATGAGGAGAGAAACCTAATAAATGGCCTCCGTGACTACATTCAGTAGGAATCAGGGGTGATTGTATTATAAGGACACAATGTTCTCATCATTTTTCTTTGAAGCTATCATTAAAATCAGTGTCATTGAAGCAGTTAATCCCTTCTTTTATAAATTAATGTTGTATATATTGGCAACATCAGCTTGCAGCCCTGTGACTCTTCTCTATTTACCTAGAAGGCTGGTTGGAAGTTTTTCTGTTATATGCTTCATTATGTAAGTCAGATGCCGTAGATTTGCACGGTAACCATCCTTCCACACTAGGCATGTACTGCTGGCTACACCCACAGCTTTAAACACATACACACAAGCACACACAGGATGGAAAATTGACCATAAAATTTTACTTAGATTATAAAACAGCTCTTAGGTAATTACAATTCTGAGTCAGAAGTACAAAGTAGATTTTAAATTTGATCCTGTGACCTGTATGTGGAAGATATATTCCCTTTAGCTTCTATCTATAAGAATATGAAGCAAGGGAGTGGTGCTCGGACTATTTATAAATAGAATTAACTGCCCTAGAAATGCATAGTTGTTTATTTAGTGTGTGCAGTGGTTAGTCCATACCCTTTCATATTTCTTTAGCTAGGTCAGTTAATATTTTGACCACCAATTCCTATACCTCTTTTTAAAAAGATTGATTTTATTTATTTATGTATGTGTGTATTTATTTATTTATTTAGAGAGCGTGAGTGGGAGGGGGTTGTGGTGCAGAGAGGGAGGGAGAGAGAATCTCAAGCAGACTCCACGCTGAACAGGGAGCCTGACATGGGACTCCATCCCGTGGCCCTGGGACTATGACCTAAGCCGAATGATCATGACCTGAGCTGAAGGCAGATGCTTAACCATCTGAGCCACCCAGGTACCCCTCATTCACAGGAAATTTGACAGAAAAACAATCCCTTCATTCTTTTGTTCATTCATTTCTCACTAACATACAGCACAGACTTTTTTTTCCTACTAGCTCATGTGTAATTTGTTCTAAGATGTGCCTATGAAACTGTGGTTGATTTATTTTTTTCTTACATCAGAAGCTTTAAAAATATCTAATCTGATGAGCCTTTAAAGGGAAGATAGCAAAATAAAAAATAAATAGCTATTTTTGATAAGTATACATGTATATAAGAGAATGGGAAATACTTATTTACAGATATTTTGATCCCATATGTATTTTGTTTCATATACCTTTTTATTTAACTGAGGAGACAGTTAAGGTACTGGAGAAAGTATTGGCTTTGAAGTCACACAAATCTAAGTGTCATTCCCAGCTCTGTCAATTGGTTGTGTGGTCTTCAGGAAGTTATCTAAAATAACCACAGCTTAGCTCCCTAGCTTTTTGCCTCAGCAAAAAGAAGAATAAAAATCCCTCAGAGATTGTTTTGATATTCAAAGGACTAAAGGAGATAGAATGTAGCATAATACCTGGTATGTAAGTAGTGAGAATTATTCATAATAATTATATCCATATATATTATAAACACACATACATACACAAGCTACACATACACATTTAAAATAATGTTTTTAAAACTAGGATGTTTAAAGCAATGAAAATATGAACCTGAAAATACCTGCTTACTAGTAGCCAAATAATTTGAGTTGATTCCAAAAGAACTTTTGGAATTTGAAGAATGGCTTTAAAATCTGATTTATAGATTTTAGTTTAGTTATGTCATTAAAACATCACTCCTAAAGGGTCAACCAACTTGTATCTGCTGAAGATGTGCACAAGATCTGGGTAGAATTTGGACAGGAAGAATTTGGGAGGAAGGTGGAGAGCACTTGACTTAAGGGAGAATACAATGAAAAGTCCAGAATCAGGGGAGACCATGGACTGCTTAAGTGATGAAGGGAGCCTGGTAACAATAGCCCAAAGTGTGGATCCTGATAGGAGGTAAATAAATGCCCATGCAAGATAGAACCAGCTTGCCTAATGCTTTCAGTGGTAGGTAGAAACGTTTATTCCACATTACTGGAACACCAGCTCCAGTAAAAACAGAGCAAAAGCCCTGTCTTTGTGGAGATTAGCTTTTAATCAGTGTATTAGTTTTTGATTGCTGTGTAACAAATTACCACAAATTTAGTGGCTTAAAACAACACACATTTATTATCTAACAGTTCCCACG